GATCACTTGAGCCCGGGAGTTTGAGACCAGCCTGGGCAACACAGCAAGACCTGCATCTCTACAAAACAATTTAAAAATTAGCCAGGCATTGTAGTGTGCACCTGTAGTCCCAGCTACTCAGGAGACTAAGACAGGAGTATCACTTGAGCCCAGGAGATCAAGACCACAGTGAGCTGTAATAGTGCCGCTGTACTCCAGCTTGGACGATAGAGTGAGACTCTGAAACACACTGACAGCTGACAGTGTTCAAATGTGTAGTTTTTCCATTTATAATCACAGCTGATTAAAGAACCATAGATAGCCTCTGATTCTTGACAACATAAATTCCCCTCACTGCAGACAACTGGACAATTGGGTCAGGGGAAGATCTTGTCATGGCGTCCGCTAAACACGCGATGAATGTAAATGTCAGCTGGATTCCAGAATTTGGGCAAGAAAGTACGTACTTGTACCCTCCTACAACTTTAGAACAGTTTTCAAGAGAACAGTAAAGAGAAGCAATGGAAATTTTATCTGTTGGTTGGCCAACTTGGAGACTGGAAATTTCCCTCATTGACATATAACAGAAAAATAATCACCACCACAACGTAACAGCTACCAAAAATTCTGGAGTACAAGGAAACAGGACACCATCTGAAGAGTCTAAGGAAAAGCGGGTATCTGAAAATGATTATAGGAAAATAGGAAAACTTTAGAAAATGTCTGTTTGTGATCTTAATAGGTGTGAGAACATATGGTATCTATCAAAGAGTGACCTATATGGTAAGGATGTAAGGAAACTAAAAATTTAACTGCAAAATTTAACATGCAATGAAGAAAGCAAAATTGCCTCTGGTGATAACCACATCAGTAATCTGTAAGATGAGTGAGTTTTTGTAGGGAACCTTAAACTCTCCATGGATAGTTGGTGCTCATAGCTCAATTTTTTTTTTTTTTTTTGAGGCGGAGTCTTGCTCTGTTGCCCAGGCTGGAGTGCAGTGGCCGGATCTCGGCTCACTGCAAGCTCCGCCTCCTGGGCTCATGCCATTCTCCTGCCTCAGCCTCCTGAGTAGCTGGGACTACAGGCGCCCACCACCATGCCCGCCTAATTTTTTTGTATTTTTGGTAGAAATGGGGTTTCACGGTGTTAGCCTGAATGGTCTGGATCTCCTGACCTCGTGATCCGCCCGCCTTGGCCTCCCAAAGTGCTGGGATTACAGGCGTGAGCCACCGTGCCCTGCCAGCTCAGATTTCTTAAAGCATAATTTGCTTACCTCCATTAGCCCTTACCTCACCGTGCTGCACTGTAACTGTATTTAGTGTGTCCCTGCCCCTAGACTGTGAGCTCCTTTAGGGAAGATCCATGACTTATCCAACTTTATCACCAGCGACTAGCATGATCTCCGACCAGTGAGTCCACATTAAGTGCTTCATGACATGTATGAAGTGAGACCTCACAGTCAGCATGGCTTTCTTTTCTTTTTTTTCTAAAGAGACAAGGTCTCGGCCAGGTGTGGTGGCTCACGCCTGTAATTCCAGCACTTTGGGAGGCTGAGGCGGGCGGATCACGAGGTCAGGAGATTGAGATCATCCTGGCTAACACGGTAAAACCCAGTCTCTACTAAAAATACAAAAAATTAGCCAGGTGTGGTGGGACACACCTGTAATCCTAGCTACTCCGGAGGCTGAGGCAGGAGAATCGCCTGAACTCGGGAGGTGCAGGTAGCAGTGAGCTGAGAACGCGCCACTGCACTCCAGCCTGGGTGACAGAGCGAGACTCCATTCTGGAAAAAAAAAAAAAAGAGAGAGAGACAGGGTCTCACTGTGTTGCCCAGGCTGGAGTGCAGTGCGGCTATACATAGGCACGATCCCACTAAGAATTAGCACAGGAGTTTGGATCTGTCCCATTTCTGACCTGCAGAAGTTTACTCCTCCTTAGGCAACCTGGGGTTCTTCCACTCCCAGGGGGTCATTATGTTGATGCTAAATGTTGGCATAGCACACTACAGCCCAGAACTCCTGGGCCCAAGTGATCCTCCAACAGCATGGCCTTCTTGTTTTTTAAAAGCAGGATGCAAAAAAAAACCCAGTCTGTCACCAAAGTACCATAGAACACAAGGCTAGAGTCTGCAGTGTAGGAATCGAGTTAATAGGTATGGGTTTAAAATACTTTTTTTTTTTTTTTTTTAACAAAAACAAGGCTAATATAGTAGAAGATGGTATCAAATAAAGTAAAAAGTAAGTAGTGAGACTATTAAATTGATTTAGAATTAAGTGAGGAAATATTACTTCTCTAGGGTCATCCTAGAGGTCAACAGAATAGTTGAGAATACTTACATTTTTCTTTTTTTTTTTTTTCTTTTTGAGACAGGGTGTCAGTCTGTCACCCAGGCTCAAGTGATCGATCCTCCCGCCTCAGCCCCCCAAGTAGCTGGATTTACAGGCACACACACCCGGCTAATTTTGCATATTTTTTGTATTGACAGGGTTTCACCACGTTGCCCAGGCTGGTCTCCTACTCCTGGGCTCAAGCGATCCATCCGCCTCAGCCTCCCAAAGACCTGGGATTACAAGCGTGAGCCACTGCACTTGCCCTGTATTTCTTTCAACTGCCTTTTATCGAAAGATCAGTTTCCCTTTTCTTACTCTCATTTTTCCTCCCCTTTTCTTTCATTAAAAAAAAAAAAACCTTCCCATATTCTAGATTTGCCAATTACTTTCACAGACATTACAGTGCTATTTTAACAGATAAACTCTCAATTGCGGTGGCCTAAAAATAGAAGTTATCCCTCAGTAAACTCCAAAATGATTGGGGAAGGCTTTCATAGGCTTCCAGGGACCCAGGCTGTCTTCATTTTATGACCTCACCCGCCTCTAAGGCCTGGGAATCCTCTCCATTCAGCCAGAAAAACAGGGATGGAATGAACATTCAAACAGGGAGACTTTTATGGGCCAAGCCTGCAATGGAGCACATGCCTGCGGTCATACCCCATTAGCTAGCACTCAGTAACATGGCCACATGTAATTGCAAAGGGGAATGGGCAATGGAGTCTAACTGTGGCTGCAGGAGGAGAAAAATGGGTTTGGTGAATAGCTAGCTTGTCTCTGCCACTAACTGCAGATTATTTCAACAATAGATATGCATGATCTGGTGTACTACATGTAGGTAGCCCTTTCCTTACTTTCTCATGAAATCACTGCAGCAACCTAATGGGATTGGAAATTAGTATGTCCAATTCAGAAACCTAAGGTCACACAGTTCCGAATGACAAACCAAGATTTAGTCCCTGTTCTGCTGCAAAACCTTCTGCATTATGCTGCATTTCTCCAAATGAAACACGGTGAAGTGAAATTATAGTCTGATAGCATTGTGATTACACTTAAAATATCATATAACTGCTACATCATCAATAGTGTCCATCCGTGGAGATGTTTTCCCAATTGGAGTGATGGACTTGTGCTAATTTACTTGAACTCTTGTCCCATTTTAGTATTTTATTTTTGAGATAGGGTCTCACTTTGTTGCCCAGGCTGTAGTGCAGTGGCACAATCACAGCTAACTGCAACCTCTACCTTCCAGGCTCAAATGATCCTCCCACCTCAGCCTCCCCAGTAGCTGGGACCGCAGGCCCATGCCACCATGCCCAGCTACTTTTTGTAGAGAAGGGGTTTTGCCATGTTGCCCAGACTGGTCTTGAATCCCTGGACTCAAGCCATCTGCCTCCCTCAGCCTCCCAAAGTGCTGAGATAACAAGAGTGAACCACTGTGCCTGGCCTTTTTCTCATTTTAATGTATAGCATTATATATTGATGTATAGCTCTGACGAGATCATTGCAGTCCCCTATAGAGGAATGAATCAATATTTACTCTCATCACTCATGTCTCATTAGCACTGAGAAACACAAATAGGCATTTCTACTTCTAAAAGATACTTTAAAAATGTGGTTTCTTTCTGTTACTGAAGTTCCCTAAAAATCAAAAAGAAGAAAACAGTTTCATTTTATCTTTACAATCCTTTGAACACTAGAGATATCAATCAGATATATCCATTTACAAATGAATAATAGCTAGGTTACTCTGTGTAAGAAATATACGTATGTGTATATTCGTTTAATCCTCAGCATCACCTAATGAGTTAAGTGTTTTTGTTGCCAGTATTTTATTGCCGTGGCTATCAAAGCACATAGAGGTTAACCAACTTGAGTGAGGTAAGAGTTGCGCATTGAAGAAAATAAAACAGGTCAGGGTATTAGTGAAAGTCTCCAGCAACGTTCCCAGGGTTCATAGGTTCTATTTATTCTGCTCTGTATGCCATAGGTTATTCCTTATTTCTTGAAAGATCTTTTCCTCAGGACTTTCATAACATCCCCTGTTCCTTTCTTGCAGCTTCATTGTATCTTTATTGTGCAGACACGTTGACTTGAGTACGTAAAACCTAACAGTGCCTATTGTTGCGCTAAAAAATGCCTTTCTATTAAAGCATGAGGCAAAAACCTAATTTAGCTCTTTCTTTCCTAAACTCACAATTTATAGAGAAACCCCTTAACCTCCTCTGAAACAAAAGGCATACACGCTACATAGACATATATTTGAGACATTAAAGAAACATGAATTTCCATTTTAAAAAACGTTTAACTTAGTATCCTCTGTCAAATTTCTGGTGCCTACTACAAAACTGGAAAAAACTGTTAAAAAAATAGCTTTTGAAATATTAGTCATTTTAAGTGAGTCACGCCCTAAAAAGAATTTACTTGGGAGTCAAAGCTAGTTGACCCTAACATCTCAGAAATAAAACTCCAATTTGTTCATCTATTTAACCTACCATGAATTTGTGATTTGGCAGCTTGTGAAAAACAACAACAAAAAACCCACTGAAATGGAACTGGTCACTGGAAACTCTCTTTCTGGTCTGTACTATCTAAATGCCAGCTGTCATGTCAAGCAAAAAGTAATTTGTAGAGCAGCTTTGTGGTCCACTGTATTATGCAAGAAAGACAATGTACTGGAAGAGCGAGGACTCAGTCATTTCGTGTCTACTACTGAGAAACTAAATTCTGTAGAGAACATGGGGCTAAATGAAGCTCAATAAAGATACGTTGGAAGAATCAATGAGGAGTTTACACAAGCGTAAAATAAAGAGTTCCAAGCGCTCTCATTGCTAACCGTACAATCTCTATGACTGTTGCAAGTGGTTTTGCAGGTCATCCAGGCACTAACCTTTTCTTAGCCCGAACACATTTAAAGAGTGAAGGGGCAGCGCACTGTGAATGTTTCTCTCTGAACTTCCTTAAGTCAACTGGGCGGAGGCCCTACCCGTTCAGGCACCTGCAATTTCCGCCCTTCTCCTTCCCCTTCTTCCGGGCTACTGTCCTCGCTCATCACCCGGCCCGTGGTCCACTCCCACCGCCAGCTGGAACCCTGGGGACTACGACGTCCCTCAAACCTTGCTTCTAGGAGACAAAAAGGTAATGATCGTCATGTGTTAAGTCACTGCAGTATGAGGTCTTCACGTGAAAGCTTTATTTGGGTAGGAAAACCTAGCCTACGAGAAACGGGTCCGTGCGGTCACGCCTGACTGCCTGTCTCCGGGTCAAGGCTGCCAGGACCAGCTCCAGCCCTCCGCCAGAGAAGGTTGTCCTTTCCCCTCGGAACTCTGGCTTCCCTAAAGCGGACGGCGCCTCCTTCCAGGCCTCACCTCCCGCCGGCTCCGCCCGGCCCGGCCCGGCCCATCTCGTCCCCACCTCGGCGCCCACCCATTGTCCCCTCGGGCAGTCACCGAGCGCAGATCCCGAGCTCTCGATTGGAACGCCTCCCCATCACTCAGCCACACTCGGGCTGGACGCCTCACTCCCGTTTCCGAGCCATAAAAGGTCTAGGGCCGCTTCCCCCAAGCCAGCAGGTAAAGCCGCGGCGGCGGGAGGGAGGCCGGGAGGGGCCGCGCGCCCCTCCGGGCAAGGGGAGCGGCGGGGGGGCGGGGGGAGCGCACCACACACAACCCTCCCTTGCCGTGCGACCGCGCCCGGCCCCCGCCCCGCAAGTCCTGATCACAATGCCGGAGCCGCCGAGCCACCCTCGTCATCCTGCCCGGGGACGGCCCTGGGGCAGTTACTACCGCGAAGCACGGAGGGCGGGGCGGGGCGGGCCGGGCCTCGGGGAGAGGTGGGGGGATGTGAAAGGTCCCGGATGTTGCTGAACGGGAGCCCCTTCCAGAGGGAGTGACTGGGGCAAGCGCAGACGGCCTGAGCGAAAGCTAAGGTGGGGGTAGGGAGAGAGCGCCTTCCCACAGGCTGAGAGGAAGAGTGGACCCGCGGAGGCCACAGGGGAGAGGGAGAGAGAGGGCGTCGGGGACCCAAGGGGAAGGCGAGGAGTGGGGGGGTTTGCGGGAAAAGAAAAAAAAAGCTTCCTGCCTAGGTGCACTCGGGACAAGCGTAGAGGAGCTGGGAGCCGAGCGGGGTGGGAGAAGTGGCGGCTGCGGGCGAGGACGCACGCGCCTCCGCTCGCCCTCCAGCGCGGGCGGGCAAGACGCGCGCCGGGGAGCGGCGGTTGCGCGGGGCCCAGATCGCTGTGGGCACCAATCAACGGTTGCCATAGCAGCGTTTGACGTCATCGTGCGTGTGGTGCCCCTGCTGCCGGGGCTGGTGATTGGAGGAAACCCCGTGTCTGCGGAGCGGCTGTAGCCTGTGAGCAGCGAGATCCAGGGACAGAGTCTCAGCCTCGCCGCTGCTGCTGCCGCCGCCGCCCAGAGACTGCTGAGCCCCTGTCCGTCCGCCGCCACCACCCACTCCGGACACAGGTGAGGAACCTGGCCGCCGCCGCGCCCCGCTCCTTCCTGTCCCAGGCCAGCCTTCCGAACGCGTGGGAGCCGTCCTCGCTCCGTCCTCTCATCCCCACTAGCCCCGCGGTGGCGGCGCCGGGCTGAGGCGGAGTCTCCTCAGCGGACACGGGCGGCGGCTCCTCTTCCGCTGAGTTCGGGCGGGCGGCTAGCGGCCGCCTCCGACTCCTTGCTTCCGCATCGACGCCCCGGCGCCGATCGGTGCTCGCTCCCCCGTCCTGCTCCCGGGGGTGGGGAGGGCGCCCACACGCGAGATCCCCGGGGATCCCCCTGTCGCCGGCTCCCAAAGGTGGACGAGGCATGGCCGGGGCGCCGCCGGCCGCGATCCGTCCCCACCCTTGTCTCTGCGGGCTCCCACCCCCTCCCTCGTCGCCCTTCTCGCTTCCGCCCGAGATAATGACTCGGCGGCGGCGGCGGGCATCGCAGTGGCGCAGGTGAGGCCGCCCCCTCTTCTCTCCCTCGGCCGCCCCCTCCTTCCCCTCCCCCGCCCCCCTCCCCCTCGCGCAGCCTCTGCGCTGGGCGCTGCGGCGGCGGGACCCGGCCCTCCCCCACCCCGGGAGGCGGCGGCGCGGCGGGGAGGGGCCGGGGGCCTCGGGGATCCAGGAGCGAGGGAAAGGCCTGGCCGAGAGCGGGCCGGAGCCCAGGCCTGGCACGGCGGCGCCCGCCAGGTAGACCGGGGCGAGGCCGCGCGCCGGCGCGAGGGGGAGCACACTGCGGGGTGAGGTTTTGGGGTGGGGCTCTCCTGGGACCTAGAGCTGAATTTCGTGGGCTCCGCGGTGGGAGGAAGGACTTGAAATTTCCTGGTGGGGGTGGGGGATGGGTCTGACTTTTTTTGCTCCTTTCGAACGGGCGGAGGAGGTGCGGACGGGGGCTGCGAGTCCAGGTGGGGGTAGAGAGCGGGGTGGGGAGCCCGCGTCGGCTTCCGTGCGTGATGGACTAGAACTGGAGGTTCCCTGCGCTCGGTTTGGGGACGCATATCCTGCTTTGGGGGCGGGTGACCCTGAGCATAGCCGCTGGTGGCCCGCTCTGCTGGGTGTGGCTCTCGTCCCCTCCCCCACCTGCAGCTGTCGGTCCCTTAGAGACGCTGTACACGGGCATCGGCGCTGATCGGTGGCGGGGAAGGCGCTGGGTGGGAGAGCGGGGTGTGTCCGTGGCGGGGCTGGTAGTGGTTCCGCTTCTGCGGGCGGCTGTGGCGTCTCTGCCCCGGGGTCGGGCGGCTTCACTCCCCCCCACTCGCCGCGCCACGGCTTGGGCGGGGGCGCGGGCTGCTCCTCCCTCTGGCTTCGGTCGGAGGAGGGGGGAATTAACACTCTGCAGTAGGTTGGGCTCCCTGACACAGATCCGCCATGACAAAGGAGAGTCGGGGACTTGAGCGGAGGCTCCGACTTGGGCGGAGCCTGGAGGGGGGTGGTTGCGGATAAGTGGACCGGAGGATTTTCACTTTAAAGTCCGGGTCTGCCGGTTTTCGTTTCGCCGTAGTCGACGTCTCAAGTCAGGTAAGGGTTAAATGGGTGCGGTGAGTCCTGCCCGCAGTGTAGAGGCGAGGCCTCGGAGCACTCATTACTGTGTGAGAAACCTTATCCACTTCCTCTTGTACCGAAGTGATTGGGTAGAGAATCCTTTGTACTGGTTTAAATCATTTTTCATTAGAAGCAGAATTAACCAGAGACTGTTTCTGAGATCCTAAGGGAAAAATTAGTAATTTAGACACCTGAGGAAAATAATGCCGTCATAAAGGTTAAATAGTTTACGTATTGAGCCAGTACCTTGTATCCAAAGTGGCTAAGTAATTTGTTTAAAATGTGGGGACCTGTTCTCATTTAGTTAAAAAAATACTGTGAGATTTCCCTGGGAAGGCAAAAGATGATTAATATTCGAGAGTCAGCTTCCAAGGTGAACTCTTCCGTTCACATAATTTAAAAGTGCACTTCATTCAGGGTGTGTATTTTTCTCTCAAGTCGTTTTTTTTTTGGTGTGGTATCGCTGTGTGGATTAGTATCTTTGTGCTGTTTGCCAACTTGCCAAAGGATATCTTTCCAGAAAAATGTAGCTGAGGTAAATAGAAAAGGTCTAGGAAACTAAAACGCGAGGGAAAGAGAATTAGGTGGATAGTCATGGTGAAGAACAGCTTGAGTGATAACATCCAATTACAGTATGACAGCTAGACGCAAAATGCAGCACTTCTGCATTTCAACTGGAGCAATGACATTGGAAACACTTGTAAATCAAGTACTTCCAACGTGATATATTCTAGTACTCACAGTAAGAGTTGAAGTGCCATGACTTGTGGATATTTTTAAAGCATGTGGACATATAACAAGGAGTTGAGGCATTAGGGTCAGATATTGATCCTTTGTGGTGGATTTATACTCAAAATATCTGAAAACAAACAGTTTGGTCATTCCTCCCCCCAAATTGTTATGCTATTATTGGCTGGCAAATGTTGCAGAGATCTAGTAGGTTTGGGGTGGGGGTAACACTAAAACTAAAATTTAATCACTCCTGACGAAAGTATTATGAAAGTAAAAAAACATGAGTTAAACTGACAAGAATTATGATTCTGGAAATATGATAGAAATCCAGATGTTCTCTGTAAACAATGCTTTTACTATGGAAGAAAAGCTGCTTAATTTCAGATCACTTAGTGGTATTGGAAATGAGTTGAGATTTTGGTCAAGTAAGATTAGGGGTAAGTTTTTGAGGCAGCTTTTGAAAGTAATTTTGACCTTATGTGAAATCTGTATCTTCTGAACAAATTTTAGTTTTGCTACACTGATGTGTTAATGGCTGAAAGTTTACCTCTGATGCTGAGTATGCTGAATTTTTTTTCCTTTTCTGACTATCCTTTTGTGAAGCTGCATTTTAATTCTTCATGTGAACAGTCTTCCACAGGCAGTTAGATTTCAGGTTTAAAAAACTCATTTACCACAGGTATAATTTTGAGTCTGTTTATTTTGATGGGAAAAATTTTAAATACTCCTTTTTTTCCCCCCTGCAGAACATCCAGTCATGGATAAAAATGAGCTGGTTCAGAAGGCCAAACTGGCCGAGCAGGCTGAGCGATATGATGACATGGCAGCCTGCATGAAGTCTGTAACTGAGCAAGGAGCTGAATTATCCAATGAGGAGAGGAATCTTCTCTCAGTTGCTTATAAAAATGTTGTAGGAGCCCGTAGGTCATCTTGGAGGGTCGTCTCAAGTATTGAACAAAAGACGGAAGGTGCTGAGAAAAAACAGCAGATGGCTCGAGAATACAGAGAGAAAATTGAGACGGAGCTAAGAGATATCTGCAATGATGTACTGGTGAGAATCAATTGAATCTGGCTTCATTATACTGTAAGGTTCCTATGAGTATCAGTTACATTACTCTCAACGTTTTCTTCGGTTTATCTTTTCCTTCTAAACATTGTGTGTTCAGATTTAAAAGTCTTCATGGTGTCATAACTAAAAAGATGTTAAGACAATTATAGATATGTGTATGTAAAGTAATTGTAATAATGATGATGAAACAGTTCAGTTTTAAAAATAACAGACTTTAGTATTATTGAAAAGATAAACTAATAGTATTACTGCTTTACTTATGGTTAGAACATTTGTGGTAGCTCTATAGCTGGTTATCTTAAATGTACATCTATGGATAAAGGAATTTTACATATTTTATGTAAGAGAGATGTAATAGGATACTGATTGTAGAAATAGTACTCTTCTCAGGATTAGCCGCTATAATGTTAATGTAATGAGTCAGCCATGCAGAAAACTCTGGCGTCACGACTATGAAACCTCTTTCCTGCATTGAATTCTTGAAAATAAATTTTGAACACTCGCAACCATGATGAAAGGTTATGAATAACTCAAGCTTGATTTTTCCAGTTTGAATCGAGTATTTTAAGTATTCAGTACCTACTGTGTTGAAGCACTACGCTTAAAATGATTAAACTACATTTTGGTTAATTTTAATCTGTCATACAAAGTAGGGCTTTTTGATCAAGAATAGTTTAAATTTGAGGATAAACTAGTAGAAAATCCAAGCTGGCAGTTTTTGGAATAATATTTAAAGTGATTTTGCTAAATGGTTACACTTAACCAGTATGGCAGGACTCTGATATACAAAGAGGGGCAGCAGCATCGCGATTTTTCTGGACAGGTTACTGAATGTGGGACTCAGTATGGAAATCCAGGTGTGTTACTTACTATATGAACCTTATTTATATGGAAGAAGTACTGTAATGAGCAATAGGATAATGTCTGATGTGGTTGTGGGTTTGGGGTTTTTGTTACAGTTGTGATGATGCTATCATTTCTTTACACTTGTATTTACTAATGGAATAGCATCAATTCCTAAACTGTATTTTTCTCAAATGATACTTGACACTGTCTTTTAAAATAATAGTGATTTTTTAAAACATGCTTATTTGGGTTCACAATCACAAACTCAATGAGACATCTGTCTTGGGGCTTTTTTTTTGTTGTTCTTATTGAAACCTTTACAATGATAGCTGTTATTTGTATCTAAGTTGAAAAAAGGAATATCTTGCTTTTATTGAGGCCAAGTGACAAATACCTATCTTGTGATTTTGCTAAGGTAGTAAGAATATTTAAATTTTGAAAATGTGATTTTTTTTCTATAATAAAAAATGTATTGGGTTTTTTTTTTTTTTTCCTTGCTCTCCTTACTAATACCTGTGTAAGTGTAACTCAGTTTTGTTCAGTCTGGTGTTACACTTGATCAAAAAGTTTTTATTTGGGCTTCAAAGGATATGTTACAAGTTAACATTTCCCTTAAGACAAAAGTCAATTTTAGGAATAAAAAGGAATGTGACATTTACCTTTTAATAACACGCTTATTTGCAATACCAGGTAGGTATGTGCATGTTTTCCATATACAAAGTATAAAAGTTCCTGTCATTGTGAGTCTTCTCCTGGGAAAAGACTTGTAGCAGGTTTGTTTTTTTGTGTTTCTTTTGAGACTGAGTTTTGCTCTTGTTGCCCAGGCTTGAGTGCAATGGCATGATCTTAGCTCACTGCAACCTCAGCCTCCCGTGTTCAAGCAATTCTTCTGCCTTGACCTCCCTAGTAGTTGGAATTACAGGGCGTGCGCCACCACGCCCAGCTAATTTTTGTATTTTTAGTAGAGATAGGGTTTCACCTTGTCGGCCAGGCTGGTAACCAGGTCAGGTCTAACTCCCAACCTCAGGTGATCCACTCACCTCAGCCTCCCAAAGTGCTGGGATTACAGGGGTGAGCCACCATGTCTGGCCCAACTTGTAGCAGTTTTGACTATGCTTCCCTTTGGTTTCCTTATCAAGAAAAATTTTTTGCATAGAACCAGTAGATGAGGATGACAAGATAATCTCTTAATAGCTTCTTGTTGTTATGATTATTAAGGAGTTTGATTCTGGTCCCTACTCACATCGTTACCCTCTAGAATAGCACTGGCTTCTTAAAAAGTCTAAATGGTATTTATACTTTGAAAGTTTGGATGAATGAGAGTTTTCTTTACTATACAAGTGGGTTCAAAGAGAATTCTAAACAAGCTTTGGCTTCCAGCCTTAGTCTTTTTAAGAGTAAGACTTAGTGATCTTTGCATACTCAGAACGTGTAGTAGATGCTCAAATATTTGTTAAACAAGCAGAAAGGCTTTTTTTGAGAAAGGATAGAATTAGGTCAGCAGCACTGCAAAATTTCCCTGGCTTTTTCTTTTTCTGCTTGGGAAAATTTGATATTTACAGATAATAGGCTTCTTTTTCCTACCATCTATTTCAAATAGGTCACATCGACTCTGGAAACATTGCATAAAATTCCTTTTCCCCTTTTTAGTGAAATGGAAGAATAAAGTGTAGCAGAACTGGTATTTCTACTAGAGAAAGTTTTTGAATCATTGTTACTTAATGATTATTAAAAATATTTTAAATTATATATTTGAGATCTTACATGGTAAAAAAATCAATTATAATTTTTTATTACTCCAGCCTTTTCTGGGCTTTGAGATATATATATGTATATACACATATACATATATATATATATATACACACACACACACACTTTAATTTGAGAAAAATAAGCAGGTAATCCCTTTGCAGAATTAATGGTATTGGCTGGTGGCATTAGTGATAACCAGATTTTTTATATTGAGCACCTATTTTATAATAGCTATGAAAATATACTCTTCCTACAAAAAGCAGCTAATCTCCAACGTTCTGAGTTTTTCTGAAGAACTTTTTAGTAACCCATTTTGGTTACATGTATTTATCAATTGTTTAACCATTTAATAAGCAAAGAGCTTGGACCATGTTGCTTATTACAAGAGTTAATAGAGCATTACCGTGGAAAGTGGTCACTGGCATGTTCTTCACAAGGTGGACTTTTCATTATGTAAAAGAACTTCGAGTTCTTCTCTTCCATGTGTTAATTTGAAACTGCAATATGTGAACTAATGCAATCTGCCTTTCCTGCCAGATGCTTAGACAGAAACTCTCTTGGTAGTTGGGGAGGGACTCAACACTAGCACCTCTTTAAACCTGAAAGATGGCAGCCAAAAATTGGGTAGTTTTTATCTTGCACTTGATGAAATGAATACCAAGGAAACACAGTCTAGGAAGACTATTTCAAACTCAAAGAAGTATGTCGAGGTGAATAATGGAGCTCAAGATACTGAATCAAACTAGTTTTACCATTTAATAGATGCATGGCCTGAGGAAATCACTCAGTCCCTCTGAGAAAACTAAGCTCAATTAAATAGGAATAATTCTCATCCCCCAGGGTTGTGGGGAATGAGAGGTAAAGCACCTTGACTACCTTTTGTGTCCTGTTTATCTTAGCTTTTCAGTTCTATTTAAAAGTGTGAGCCTGCCTGTAATAGTGCAGGGGTCTCTTAACTCATAGTCCATGAATGGAATTTAGAAGATGGACGAAGCCTTTAAGATTGTGCATTTTTCTGGGGCAGAAGGTCCATGCCAACCATCAGATTTTCAAAGATTTCATTTTAAAATTTAAAATCCACTGCTATAGGCAAAGAATGACTTTATAGGAAGTCTACGACAGGAAGCAGTATAAAATTGTGTGTCTAACATTCATAACAGTTGGCAACTGCAGTTCAGTAATCTTAATAGTGATTCAGTTAATTCGACTGAGTTCTATTTTATTGCTGCTCTACATTTTTATTTGCTCAGAGCAATTTTAAGTTGTGGTTATGGGGCACCGATTTTTATCTCCAGCCCACAGAACTACCATTAAACAGAAATAAGATAAGAAAGCAAGTAGTTTTTGAGTCCCTTGTAGTCTGAATATATTATTACATGCCTTGGGCTTTAAAAACTGCTATGTAGTTTTTAAGATGCAAATCACTAGGCAGCTCATTGGAAAATAAGGCCTTCTCCAAAGAACTCTGTAGTGTTATATCTATTGTTACTATTTTATTTTATTAAGATATACTGTATATTTACATGTCTTCGTGGTTTTGGTATGTTTGGAAGTATAAAGAATTCAAGTTCTGGTCCCAGGAAGGAAGAAATAGGACGGTGTTTTTTTTTTTTTTGAGACGGAGTCTCGCTTTGTCGCCCAGTCTGGAGTGTAGTGGCGTGATCTCGGCTCACGGCAAGCTCCGCCTCCTGGGCTCACACCATTCTCCTGCCTCAGCCTCCCGAGTAGCTGGGACTACAGGTGCCTGCCACCACACCTGCTAAGTGTATTGTATTTTTAGTAGAGGCGGGGTTTCACCGTGTTAGCCAGGATGGTCTCGATCTCCTGACCCTGTGATCCGCCCACCTCGGGCTCCCAAAGTGCTGGGATTACAGTCGTAGGCGACTGCACCTGGCCTGTACAGTGTCTTTGGTAATAAAGTTCATTTTTTTAAAAATGCGAAGTGCCACACCCAGTGACATATTTGTACAAATACAAAAAGTCTGAGGTATATGAAGTGGAAATGATGAAAATAAAGGGAATGGAAAGGTAGAGAGGCCTTTGTTGTTTGATGGGAAGGGAAACTAGCTCTGCCTTTATAATACTGAATTAAATGTCATTGGACTTATGGATTAATTTCACAAATTTTTGATTCCAAAATAAGTTACTCTTGGCATATTTATATTGAAGTGTGTGTGAGAGAGAATTTTTAAGTCAAAATGACGGGTGTTCTGGTATCAAGTAAGTTTTAAAACTTAGCATACAGTTTATTGAAATTCTAATAAGTTTCTTAGAATTTTTTGTAGAATTCTGGTTCCCTATTGTGATTTCATCCTAGTTCCCATAGCTTTTGCTTTACTCTGACAGTTTTACACAGAGAATAAACACTGCTCAAGGTTTTA